ACTAAGGCTGTTTAATTTTATTGACATGTCCAGATGGGAACAAATACAAAGGAAGCATCTATATGGTTTTTGAATATATGGATCACGATCTAACTGGGCTGGCAGATCGTCCTGGCATGAGATTCACCGTACCACAAATAAAGGTATGGTAGCATTTTTGTGATTGATTTATTTTATTGTATTACTTCATTATATTTAGCTGAACCTTGTTTCTCATTATGGTAGTGTTACATGAGGCAGCTGTTAACTGGACTACATTATTGTCATGTTAACCAGGTGCTTCATCGTGACATCAAAGGTGGTTAATGTTTTTGGTTTGTTGCGTAAATCATTATTGCACGACATTATTTGGTTATAATTGTGTTTTTTGGATCTGCTGCAGGATCTAATTTACTGATTGATAATGAGGGAAATCTAAAACTGGCTGATTTTGGGCTTGCACGCTCATTTTCTAGTGATCACAATGGCAACTTAACTAATCGTGTAATAACTTTGTGGTATAGGTACAATGTTTACAACCATTTACTGTCCCAAATGATAATAATGATAACATTGCTTTCTACCTTTTATTTTTACTTTGGTGCCTTGTCCGCTCATTGAACATCCAAAACGATTATGTCAACACTACATGTTACTTTTCCATGAACCAAGCTACTCTAATGTTCACTTTTTATTTTTTTTATGGTTATAATACAGGCCTCCGGAGTTGCTGCTAGGAGCAACCAAGTATGGTCCAGCTGTAGACATGTGGTCTGTTGGTTGTATTTTTGCAGAGCTTTTACATGGAAAGCCCATCTTACCTGGGAAAAATGAGGTAGGATGTCTTTTGTAAAGCATTTCTTACTTTCATGTATGTATGTCAGAGCCTTTATTTCTATATCTCATGTTTGATAATGTAATAATTCATCATGTAAAAATTTATAAATTTGGGTTTTTAGGATTTTCCCTCTATGTTTGGGGTTAATCTATTTGCCCTCTCTCACATCAAATTTTAGTTTTGCCATTGTATTAGACATTGTATTTGATACTTGTTTCTTCCATCTGCTAAAACTTTCTATTTTTTAATGAGGATGTACTGCAATATTATTTTTAACTAGCATCGGCTGTAGGCCTGGTTTGGAAAGCAATCTTTTGTAATTAGGCATTCAAAGAAAACTTCACTTTTAAATTAAGCTTTGCCCCTCAAAGTTTGAGATAAAAATTTCTCCCTCTCTGCAACTGAATTTTGGTGTTTGTTTCTTTTCATATATTGAAACAATCTTTGTGATAAATCTAATGGTGTTGATCTATTGAAATATTATTTTAATTGAAAGTTTTTTTCTTGATTGAACAAGCTTGAGAGTGAACAAATTTTCTTGCACCGTTGATTTAAATGATCATAATTTTTTTTTTCTCTTCATTTTTTTAATGCAAACTATGCCTTTCACGGCCATACACCTACATGCAGGACCTAATTACAAGTGGGGTTCACTGTTTTCTGGAAATCGGAATAGGGCTGTTTGTCCTAGGTTGCATACATGTCCTAACTTGCAAATGTCTACTGTCCTAGGTTGCATACATGTCCTAACTTGCAAATGGCTTTAATTGTTGATAAGGTGCTTTATGCAACTCCGAATAAAAAAATAATAGTAATGAACCTGTGTTGTAAATTTTTTTTTTAAAAAAAAAAATTATCACTTGAATGAAGACTTGGGTTCTCTTTCTCTTCCTCTAATGTTGGGTTTAGTCCTTGTCGTTTCATACAATGTTATTCAAAAGTAGATCCCTCTTAAAAGTTTTTTTTTTTTAAAGGCTAATCTATTAATTTGCTTTACAAGTTTGCATTTCAAACTAGGTTGGCTGAGATTGTGTTCTAGACATTTGTTCTTCTCGCATCTTGCTGCAAGATATATTGGGGCAGAACATTGTAAATTGCATTATTGTAATAAAATTTAACTCATGGTTCTTGGTGTTCCATGTGAAGTTCTTTTTTTTTTCTTTTGGTGTTCTGAATTAAAGATTCAAGCTTTAACAATTGACTGCAATCTACAATAAGTTATCATGCAGGTTTTTTTTTAGTTGAGTTTTTTCTATTTTGTTCATGATTTTATTTCCAACTTTACAATTGGTCCAACTATTGTCTCCACTACCCATTTTTTTCTTGAACTACATTGACCCGAACTAGACTTGAAAAATCCTGGTTCAGGTTATCCTGATAGTTTTTGGGTTGAATTCGGGTTAGGATTTTTAACTTGTTTAATTTTTCAAGTTGTGTTCGAATTGAGCTACAAAAATGAAATCATCCTACCAACCCATATTGCCTTGAAATCGATCCGTTAACTTAAAATCGACCCTAAATTGACTTAGAATCAACCCAAATTTGACTCGAATAGCTTTTATGCCTCATGTTAAACGAGTCATAA